CCATGGGCCAGCCTCAGCACTACTTGCAGCTGCAGGGTCTTGGAAAGTGTCAGGCTTCAGAGGGAGAGAGGCTGCGGCCCTCACCCGGTGCCCAGGGCACACGGCATTGGCTACTCTCTCACTACAGCGTGAGGGGCCCCTCGCTCCCCTCCCCACGGGGTTCCAGTGGGAGGAGAAAGCCCTCTGCGGGTGCATGAGACGGTCACGAGAGCCGTGCATGCCCTCCACGCGTCCAGGGGAAATGTGTGGCACTGACAGCGTCCCAGGGATTGCACAGCTGGGACGAAGGGCCGCACCCAGCACAGGGTCTGGCCGTGCATCCCACCCCCAGCTACCTCTTCCGATGACACGTTTCCACAATTTCCCCACGACTCTTTCACTGAAGAACCAGGTTCTTAGCAGATACTTGTGTCCATGTGACTCCCAGCATTGCTTACATCTGCTGCTCACGGCAGGCTGCTTTGGCAGCTCTCCCATCACCGACTTGTTAGCTCTGGCCAAGGCACCTCTCAGAGCTTCCACTTCCTTGTGTGTGGAATTGGCCCCATGGTCCTGAGATTTGCTTCACAGGGTTGGCGCAAGGCGCATGTAAAATAGCCTGCGTGGCAAATTCTTCATCAACTCAAACATGTTTTTGTTTTTGTCTGCTTTCAACATCCCCTTCAAATGATGGGGATGTTAAGTAAGGGAGAGATTGGGAGACTTGGAAGACTAGAAATAAAGATTCATATATCTGAGGGTATTTTTTCTTTTTTTGAGACAAGGTCTTGCTCTGTTGCTAAGGCTGGAGTGCAGTGGTGCAACCTCTGCTCACTACAGCCTCGACCTCTGGGGCTCAGGTAACCATCCCACCTTAGCCTCTTGAGAAGCTGGGACTATGGGTGTGTGCCACCACGCCCAGCTAATTTTTGTATTTTTTGTAGAGATGGGGTCTTGCTTTTTTGTCCAAGTTGGTCTCGAGCTCCTGGGCTCAAGGAGTCCTCCCATCTTGGCGTCTCAAAGTGCTGGAATTGCAGGAGAGAGCCACTGTACCTGGCCCATGAGGGTATTTTTGAAGTTCACTAATTTCTTCCAGAAAAAACCAATTCCTTTCTGGTGTAACTGCACCACTGTCATTAAAGGGGCAGAAAAGTGCTAGGTGAGAGAGAAGTGGTCTGTCCAGGCGTGTGTGTGTCCAGGAGTGTGTGTGTCCAGGGTGTGCGTGTCCAGGTGTGTGTGTATCTAGGCGTGCGCGCTCTGCTCTGCTCTCAGGAGGGGCAGACGTGCTGGGTGGGAGTCAGGCAGTCTGCCCAGGCGTGCACGCTTTCTGCTCTGCTCTCAGGTCCCAGGTGTCAGGTGCTGTTTCTCTTTCTTGTTTCTGAAACTGCACTTGGCCGGGGCCAGGCAGTACACACAAAGAGGCACATGGACAGTCTCCCAGCCTCCTTAGTGGCCGTCTTGGAGAACCTGACTGGACCGTGGCTGAGGCTGACCCGAAATGTCCACTTCTGTCCTCCAGAGTCCTTCCCGCAGTCCAGCAGGGCTTTGTGCCTCTTCAGAACACTTGGACATCGACAACACAACACAACTCCAGGAGGACGCAGGTAAAATGACGCAAGTGGTGTGCGAGAAGCCGGGGAAAAGTGGGTGGGCAGGTGAGTGCCAACGACTCCTTTTGTTTGTTTGTTTTTTGAAATGGGGTCTCACTCTGTCGCCCAGGCTGGAGTGTAGTGGCATGATCTTGGCTCACTGCAAGCTCCATGTCCTGGGCTCAGGGAATCCTCTTGCCTCAGCCTCCTGGGTAACTGGCATTACAAGAGTGTGCCACCAGGTTTGACTAAATTTTTTTGTATTTTTGGTAGAGACGGGGTCTCACCATGTTGCCCAGGCTTGTCTCAAACTCCTAAGCTCAAGTAATCCACCTGCCTCGGGCTCTCAAAGGGCTGGGATTACAGACATGAGCCACTGCGGCTGGCCTGAGCCACCATGTCCAGCCCGATGATTCTTAAATAAGAACAAGCTAAAAACACTTTTTAAAATTGGGCACAGAAAACACATACATTTTTTAGTTTTACATAAAGAAATAGTCAAACCTAAGGAGTGTATTTTCTTACACTTGATGTTTCTTATTCATGGGCCCACACATCCAGGTAAAAAAATCACGTTGCTAAAAAATGACTCTAGTATCTGTATGCAAGCCGCCACTGTTGTAAAAATAACCTTTTATTCAATTATATTATAAATTAAAATAATATATTCTATATCGTATTGATAGTCTAAGAAATTGAAGCTTTTAAAATTTCTACTGAATACCAAGCTCAGATAAAAATTGCTTTTCTGATCATTGTTACCTATGTCACCAAATGATCATTTTATTTTTGCATTTAATGAATTAAGTGATTGTTTGAGTCTTCAATTTTATATGCCTGCAAGAAAAGCACTACGGAAGCTTCCACTCTTCTATTAATAACGGCTGCTCTGCAAATCTCACAACACTGACGTAGACAACAGAATGTCTTCCACAGACTGCTGTTTCACAGTAAGGAACCAAGCCTCCCAGTCCACTCCTGCTGCTGGGACGAAATGCCTTGGACTGGGTAATTCACAAACAGCATAAATGCATGGCTCACAGTGACGGGGGCTGGAAACTGGAGATCAAAGTGCTGGCTGGTTTGGTGTCTGGGAAGGACCCCATCTATGCTTTCAACATGGTGCCTGAACATTCTGTCCTCACATGGCAGGAGGGGTGGGAGGGAGGCCGCTCCCTGAAGCCCCTGTTACAGGGGGGCACCAACTCAGTTCACAAGGGTGGAGCCCTCATGACCCAATCACGCCCAGCCCCGGGACCCCCACCCTCTAATACCATCACCTTGGTGATTCAGTTCCAACACAGGAAGTGGAGGAACAGATGCATTTAAACCACAGCACCAGGCATCTCAAATCACTATCGTGTGCACAGAGGCACTTCTCCAACAGCTAGTTATACGTTTGTTTAAGCTAATTTGAAACAATCTGCAAAACTACCCATTTATGGGTATGCTGAGAAAGTCACATGGGAAAGCAAAGCCACCAATCCACGTAAAAGCCAATACCCACACCCATCACATGTGCGCTCCCACACATGTGCACACAGAGCCACGGCCTCTGGGAATTTCAGACCAACAAGCACTCTGACTCAGACGGGTGCTCAGCCAAAGGCGGCAGTGGGAACTTTAGGCTCTGTGGTCACAGGAAACCCATAAGTGTCACCAGAGGGTCCCTGCAGGTCTGAATATCCAACTTTAGGGCTACAGTGTGGGGTAAAGACAAACCCTGGCCCCATTGACCAACCTTCCCTTTACCAGAAGGACCACACCTTGCCTTTCCTTTGGGTTCCAGAGCTTTGCAAAGTCAAGTGACACCCCCTTTAGAACCTGCCTCTGCACACATGCCTCCCTAGATGTGCATGGCCACCTGTCCTGAGTCTGAAACAGACCTGGGCCATCCTGGAAATTCAGCTTGGACTCCCCTGGCTTCCATTGCCATTTTCCTTCACAGAGGCTTTCTGCTGGGAGGCAGCACAGCAGCCCCTGCACCCCTGCCGCACACACGCATGGGGACACGCACACGCTCACACACGCCTCTGCTTCTGCCTAGCACTTCGGCTGGGCACAGGCTGGGGCAGTCCCAACAGTGCCTTCCAGTGAGTGGTGGCCATAGCCCGGCCTCCTGGTGGGTTCAGGCACTCGTGTGTACAGCTTCTCACCGGTGTGTATCTCTTCTCCATGCATAAATTTTCCTGCAATGATGTTGCATCTCTATATCAAAGACTTATTTAATGATCATTAATTCTTAAAAATGTTCCCGACCTGCCTTCTCATCTCACTCGGATGGACGTCCCCACTCCCAACTCAGAGGCAGCAGGGTTTGCAGAAGGCCCCTGAGCAGCCCTACTCCATCCAGCTCACAGCACCTCTGGCAGTTCACAGGGAGCAGCACACGGCCCAGAACTGCGTTACGGGGAGCAGCACACGGCCCAGAACTGCGTTAGGAGGAGCAGCTGCTGAGCTGGGCAACATTCAAATGGTTTAGAAAAGAGAAAGCCTCCTCAGAACCAGTTCCAGGTTTGTCATATCTGCAGACAGCACCAAGCAGCTTCTGCTGAGGCCATCTCTCTGTTCTCTCTTCCTCTCCCTTCCCTTCTCCCCAGCACCTGCCATGCAGCCCTCACTCCCTGGGAGCTCTAAAGTGGTCTCCAGAGAGGACCTTTGCTCATAGGTTGCAACTTTTATCTCTAGGCTCCCAAGGGCTCAGAGCCGCACAGCCCAGTGCAGCCCAGGGTTCCCCTTGGCAGTTTATTTGAGGGCATCTTCTTCCTCCAGCACTGGAATTACGCCCAGACCCAGTACAGCAGGAGAAAGGGGTGGGAGCTGCTGGGCATGGAGCCACATGGGACCCAGCTCTGCACAAGAGCCAGGGATGGTGACGCCAGCGCGGCATCACCCTGCCTCTGGAAGGAAGACAAAGGCCTGCCCCACTGGCTTTCCTCGGCTGGGATCTCTATGCGTAGATGGACCCTACGTTTCCATTTGGACTCTGAAAGGGGAGAGTCAATTTCACCAGGCCCTCACATGTCCTTGCCAATGTATCTTTGTGGCCTGTTTGATAATGTCACCCAACTTCGTAGGTGCATAGAAAGCGCCACTAACCCCTGCCTGTGGGGTGAGTGTACCCTCGGCGCCCTGCACAGGACAGAACTGTCCTCAGTTCCCTCCGAGGCCCCGTGGGAGGGAGGAAAACCCAGGACTGCGGCATAATCAAGACAATTTGACATCAGGCCAAGTCCTCAACACAAGCAAGATTAGTGCTAAGAGGTTAAAAGGTTATTCAAGGTCATATGGATACGACACAGGTCAGGAACGCTGAGAAGTTGATTAATATTATTGAGTAATATTAATGTTAGTAGCAATTAACAGCAGCATGCAGGTAGGTAAACAACTATGAGAAGAGAAAGGAGAGAGGAAGGCAAAGTGAAGACTCACATCTGGATGGGGGATGGCGTACTGTCCCTGGATTGTGTAGGCCTGGAGAGACAGAGAGACCCCGTCAGACTGCGACCCGGCTGCACCTCGGCCAGTCACCATCGCCACCCTCCAGCATGACAAGGACCCTCCGGTAGAAGCTTCCCGGTCCTGGGCCTCTCCACCTGTCCCCATTCTGGGACAAAGGGCAGACCCTCCCAGGGGACCAGGAGCCCAGGGGGGACTCGCCCACTTCCTCTGGGCAGGCAGAGCTGAGCTGGCCAGGTCCGCGGGTGGGAGAGCAACAGTTCAGCCATGATGCTTCCAACTCCTGCGACTCCAAGTTTCTTAAAGCAAAATCATCTAAGAATGATCTGTTTGACTCCCCAGTAGGAGGTCCACTAATTATTAAGGTTTTGAAAATTTAATCAGCCGTCTGAGTAAATACTTTTGGGAAATATTTACCCCAAGAAATCCAAACAACAAAAGAAAGCTCTAAAAGGTGACGAAAGCCAGCTTGGCAAAAGCCAGTCTACATAGGAAGCAGGTCTACGTCGGTCACGGCTTGCTGCCTTTCATGAGTGCCGTTAAGACGGGAGGGGGTGGACCTTCTGCTGTGGGGGCAGCAATGCGCCCCACCCAAGATGTCATGTGGGGCCCCCGAGGCCTCATTTTGGTTCAGTATTTCCCTTGCCTTCAAAAGTGACTCCAACCTGCAGCCCCTTCCCACCCTGACTCTGAAATCTGGGCAGGTGAGGCCCCACCTGCCCCATAGGTCCCACCTGCCCCATAGGTCCCATCAGCAAAGACGCTTTCAGGTGATTCAGGTGATTTCATGGCCAGACAACAAATGGGCCACACAGAGTCAAGGGAGAGCAAAGAGCATGAACAGCTGTCAGGACTTGGAGTGGACGGGGCTGCACCAGGCCTGTTGGTGGCCCTGGGGTGGAGGATGCAGCTACCAGCCCCTGGCTGTGCGGGCCCCATGCCACTTCCCATGAGGACCCGTGGAGTCCACAGTGACCACACATGGGGCCCCTGAGCACCTGCGAGGGATGCCTCAGGGAAGGATGTGTGTCACCTTTGTGCAGCCCAAACCCTCCCACAGGTTTTGAATTGGCCGAGAGTTTTCATCATAAGCCAATCCTGGGAGTTAAAGGCCAATTGACCTGCAGCTTTGAAAGAAACCCCAGGGCTGTGAGGCCACTGTGCTGCATTGGCAGAGGAAGTAAAAGAATCTTATCAGATCGAGCAGGAACCAAGGACCCCACTGTCCTGTACAAAGTGTCGTGAGGACCACTGCAACTGTTTTGTAAAGGTGTTGTCAGGGACAGGTTCCAGTGTGTCACCGAAGGTGATGGGCCTTGGGACTCATGCTGGGAGCCGCCCCCTCAGGGCACAGGGTCCCAGGTCAGCCCTGCCTGTCTGAGCTGAACCGCAAGGGCTCAGAGCAATCCACAACCTAGGCCACGCTGGTCTTCTGACTTTATCTTCTTACTGTCGTTATGTTTTCTATCTGCTTGTCCCTTAGCAGGCTCTGCTAAGTGAACCCGTGAACATGTCGTGCTAGAAACGTGGGGGTGGCTGAACGGAGCTGCTGCTGGTGCAGAGGCCGCAGGGGAGCTGCTGCTGGTGCAGAGGCCGCAGGGGAGCTGCATGGGCGTCCTCCGAGCACCCACAGTGGTGGGGCATCCTCTAGGCCCCTGATTTCTGTGACTGGACAGAAATACAGTGGGTGGGTCCTCCAGGTGACCTCTCTTATGTCTGTATTGGATTGTGTGTCCTAATCTAGGCACTCTGGATCTGAGTCATCCAGGAGACAGTAGTGGCTTGCAGGCTTAGGTCTTATTCATGCCCTCACTTCTGGGTTTGCATTTCAGCAGCTCCCCTGGGTTATCTCAGGGCGGTAACTCCCTGTGACTCTGTCCTCCACACCACCAAGGCTGACCACTGGCCAGGCCAGACTTCCCAGGGCCCTGAGGCCCACTTCTCAAAGGGCTGACATTTTAGCATCAGCCTTGGGACAGCACCCACTGTACAGAGCCCTTCAACTGCTGCAGTCGGGAGGGCGGGCTGCTGCCCTCTATATAGGAGTTAGGGGCGCATGGCTGGCGGCTGAGCAGGGCTCTGTGCACCCTCTACCCTGGAGCGGTGACCACACCCCCAGTGGCTTGAAGACTCCACATGTGTTTGTATAAACACACATTCCTTTTGAACAAAATCTCTCCTTTTACCACAGGATATTATTATGGATTTGTTTAAACATCAAGGTGGAGTCCACAGAGGTTACTAACCCTGTTAATTAACCATGAATTTGGGGGAAAAGCAGTGAAACGGAGTTTTGCACAGGGACTTCTCCCACTGTGTGACTCCGTGTGATCCCCGGTGACCAGAGCCCCCTGGGTTGGCATGATAAGGACATGTCTCGTGTGCCCACAAGGCTGTGACACCAGGCAACTCCCTGGCTCGTCAGGCCCAGTTTTCTGGCTGTAAAATAGGGGTGTGCTGTGTCCTGGGGCTGCTGTAAGGACGATGTGTGCATGTGGGGGCTCCCTGACTACAGCAGGGCAGGAAGGGGCATGTGCCAGGCTGCGTGCAGGGTCGGGGGTGGGGGAAGGTGTGCTCTGCTTTGAGCATGCCGGACAGCCGGGAGGGAAGGGATGGACACGCCCCGGCCTCCCCCTCCAATGTGGGCCACAAGTGGGAGCTCTGATAAGATTCCTTTACACCATAAGGAAAACACCAGGAAAACTTCTAACATTTGCCTCTTCTGTCTCCTTTCTGATGGTAAAGTAAAACCTCAGGCTCGTTCTGCCCTGCCAGGGTCACCTGTGGGGACGTCTGTCTCAACTCTCCCTTGAACAAAGACACACATCGCGGCCGCCTGGACGCAGAACTCTTCCAGGCCAACCCCCGCCGGAACCGTCCAAGTCTGTTGGCCATGGAGGGCCGCAGGAGCCCTGGGGTGGGTGGGTGCTCCCCGTGCCCTGGGCAGGGTTTGCGATCAGGTGAGGGGCTGGGCAGGGCCCCCAACCTCCGAGCTCCTCCAGAGGTGCTGCCATTCCTGGCAGGAGAACACGGAGTTGGAGTGTGGAAAGCAAAAGGACCAGCTTTGCAGACAGGACGTGGGGCACCTGCAAGGCCTCTGCTCAGAGCAGAGGGAGGTCCTGGCACAGTGGTGCAGATGCCCACTCGCCAGGCCACAGCTCACCAGGCCATGGCTCGCCAGGCCACGCGTCCTTCCTCTGTGCAGAGCTCCTCCCTCCCGCGTGTCCCTGCTACGAGCGCATCCTGGGAGCTGGGAACACGGATGTCGGGAAACGAGACCCTGGTTCTCCCCGTGCTAGCTGTTTCCAGCATGAGCCGCAAAGTCACCTGGAAAGCGCCTGCGTGCCGGCTATCTAAGCTTCCTAAGAGCAGCCAGTTCCCAGGCCCCGGTTAGGCAGAGCCAGATCTCAGTGTGGTCTGCTTATCCTTCCTGCCTGGGTTGGGGAGGAGAACACAGTTCTGTGGGGCCGTCTCTGTGGGGGGATGTGCTCTGAGGGCCCTGCGCCAGCCGGTGCTGGGTGTAGGTGGCAGAGCTCTGCGTCCAGCGCGGGTGGGAGACGTGCAGGTGAGAAGGCGAGAAAACCTGAGTGCACTAACGGGCAGCGGCGGGTGCTGCAGTAAAAGGCTGAGGTTGGCAGTGGAGGCCGCGAGCGGGTCGGCTCTTACCTGACCACCTGCAAAAATGACAGGGGTGGAGGCGGGCTTTGGGCGGTAGGGAATGGTGGCACCTTTCGGTGGGGACTAGGAAAAGGGACAGGAGAGGGAGAGAGAGCATTAGAGCAGCTTTGCAGCCTGATAACGGTGAGGCGCCGGCCCACCCCACTCACCCCTGCACTGGGGAGGCTCCAGCCCGCCCCACTGACTCCCCCTGCACCAGGGAGACACGCCCCAGCCGGCCCCACTCACCCCCTGCACTGGGGAGGCACATCTCGGCCTGCCCCACTCACCCACCCTACACCAGGGAGACACGCCCTGGCCCACCCCACTCACCCCCTGCACTGGGGAGGCACATCTCGGCCTGCCCCACTCACCCTCAGACACGCCCCATCCCACCCCACTCACCCCCTGCACCAGGAGGGCACGCCCCAGCCTGCCCCACTTACCCCGTTCTGGGGAGGCTCCGGCCCACCCCACTCACCCCTGCACTGTGGAGGCGCATCCCGGCCCACCCCACTCACCCCCTGCACTGGCTCCACCCTCCTCAGCCTCCCCAAGTCATAGCAGTGCTGGGGAGGAGAGTGAAGAACTCCACTGCCCATACCCTCTGAGTGGCTGTCTTACAGCCCCACCCCTCCAGACGGCTCCTTCTCTCTGAGCACTGGGGTACAGTTTGCCACACACCGGCCTCTTGAGAGTACCACCTGCCCCCAACATCCCTGGTTGCTCTGGGGCAGTGTGGAAGGTCAGTCCCACTGTGTGAGTCCAGCTGGGGGGTCCCTTATGCCCGAGACCCAGCTGGACAAGGGCTGGCCACTGACCCAGACGAGCCCTGTGGTGCTGGCCCCTCTGCAGGGGCCCCTGCAGGCTGGGCTGCAGAGCTTCACAGGGAGCTGGGAGGCCCCTTGGAGCAGTTCTCTTGAATGCTCTGGAGAAAGGGAGCCCTGCAGGACTCCACCAGGACCCATGTCCAAAGCACTCGGCTTGGCTCGTGGTGACAGTCAGCAGAGATCCCCATGGGAGACTTGGAAACATCCCACTTCACTATTTGAAAAAGTATTTTCCAAGAGCTTATAGACTCCAAAGGAAAAATTCCACAGTTATGATGAGGTTTGCTGAAATTTCTCTTGGTTATTCTGTGGGAAACTCAGGATTAACATTTTTAACCTGACCCTCCTCCTGGGTCAGTCCTCCTGTGTGGCCGTCCCCCAGGCCCAGGACAGGGAAGTGGGAGTCCTAGGCCTGGGGGGCACCCCAGCTGGGGTTGGTCTAGCAGGGAGAGGTGGGACTGGGCCCACAGAACCGTTCCTGGCAGGGGAGCCTGCCCTGCTGGGATTTCTGGGGCCTCGGCTGACTCAGGGCCAGCTCAGTGCTCAGGGAGTGCCACTCACACTCAAAGCACCACGCTGGGGACAGGTGGTCGGATCAGCAGAGCCAGGGCCCCGAGTGTGACCTCCAGGAATATGGGAAAGGGGATGCTGGGCAGGTCTGGGCTGACCCAGGCTGGCCCTGGGGTGGGAGGAACTGACTGAGGGTGGAGGGGAGCTGCCGCCGCCACTGCCCTCTCTGGCTTCCTGGAGATGCTGGCGCCCCTGCTTGATGGGCCTCCAATGCCACCCTGGCACAGGAGCCCCTGGCTGACACTGATCTGTGATTCTCACTTCCCATGTGGGCCCAGGGCCTACTGGCCTCCCCTGCACTGGGTGCAGGGATGCTGGGCCCTGGGTGGGCAGGGCACCATCTGTGGAGATGTCTGTGTTCTTGGCGGGCCCCACACAGACTCAGTGCACCCTGGGCAGCCCTTTCCTCCGCAATCTCCTGCGTGTGAGGTAAGGCACGCCCACGACCCAGCCCAGAAGTCCTGCAATCAACTGGGAGGGCCTCTAAGCACCCTTGGCTTTGTTTTTCCAGCCACTCTTCAGCTGAGGGTGGGCCAGGCTGTTTCCAGGTGTGATGCAACTTCCTTCCTGGGATGATGGCGCCCGGGCCTCGGTGCTGCACAGCCAGCAGGGGTGCGGGCGGCTGCCCGGCCATCTTCGCCAGTCATGTCTGCTGTGAGTTCCCTGTCCTGCTCAGACCTCCTGGCCCAGGAAGGAGACAGGTGGTTTCCATGATAGCCCTGTCTGTGGGGCTGCACTGCACGGCACCGGGATGCAGGGAGCAGAGGCACGAGGTGGCGCTGACGACCCCAAGTGTCGTTCTGAGCTGGACCTCGGCCTCCATTGGGGATGTCCCTCTTAGAATTGTTCCAGTCACTGACTGCTCCTGAGCCTCGGCCGCAGGGCTGCCAGGGCCCCGGAGACAGGAGGGTTGAACAGAGAGCTCAGACCAGCCTCGCACTGTCACCCTAACTAGGGAGTGGGGAAGATTTCAGAACGAGAATATTTTGAAAAATATTTTTGACTTCACAAAATATCAAACTTCAGGAAAACAAAAACTATGCAGACATTTTTTTAAAGAGTCAAACATGGGTTCAAACCCCAAGCCAAGTACGAGAAAGGAATGAGCCTGGGCTGCAGGAGGGGCTGGAGGCTGACTCCGCAGAGCTGCTAGAACCTTCCATTTGGGGCGGGCTTCTTCATTTTCGCTTCAGGAAAAGCTGGCAACTATTGATGGCTTCATGAACTTTGAGTATATTTCAGAATCTTTTCCTGCCCAGAGGCATCTGCTCTGAGGGGCCCTCTCTGCTTCTCTGTCTAAAGCTTTTGCTCGCGCCTCTCTACTTCTGCGTGGGTTTTGTGTATTTTCCCGAGTTCTGCCCGTGGTTCCTCCATGGTGGTTTGATGCCTCCTTCTGCAGAACTGCACGCGCAGAGGAGCCTCCTGCCTTTGCCTCCCTCCCACACCCAGCTGCCCCCATCAAGGCCTGGCTCTGGCGGCATGAGCACCTTGTCTGCAGCTCCAACTCCGTGCAGAAGGCCCCTCAGCGGGATGATAACCTCTCATCCAACTCTGGAGAGGGGCTCCCTCCTCTCCACATGCTCTGCCCTAGATGCCGCCATGGACACTGGACCCTCAGCTAGCAGCCCCAGCACCCTCACGCACCCACACTGGCACAAATTCTCACTCTGGCTGCCTTGAAAGCCCAGATCAGGAGCCCCCACAGCCTCAACTGTGTGAGTCCTTGGGACGACCGGGGCGACCAAGCCTTTGCCTGCAGTGCAGGAAGCAAATCTGGAACTCAGATGGTCTGGCCCCAGCACGCAAACAGTACCTCCAGCATGACCACGCAGATCTGCTTGACACACTGGATGATGGCGTCCGGGGTCCCCGAGATGGTCACTGCCCGCTCCGTGGAGTTAGGCAGCATGTCCCCAGCCACCTGCACCTGGGCACCTGTGGACTGGAGAGAGGGGATGTTGGAAGAGAGCACCAGGGTGGCAGTGCATGGGGCGGCAGCACCTCCTGAGTCTTGGCACCCACGGCAGCTCAGAGGACATGTCCTTGGAGACCTGCATACGGCCCACGAGCCCCCTCCCCTGCCCCATCAGAACTGCCCCGGTGCCGCCCCTGCCACCACAGCTTGGCACCTGGCCCTGCACCTTCCCTTGGGTGCACGTGGCACCTGGGTGAGGCTAGATAGGAGGCATCTAACCAGAGGTGTTTTCAGGGAGACAAACTACTCTTTTCAAATAAGTGGAATTCTCTCTCCTCTGCAGAGTTTTAGGTCACAAAGAAAGGTGGACTCTGGTAGTGGGCAAGAAATGAAGATTGGGGTGGCTGCCCTGCTGCACAGGGAAAGGATTAAGCCTCTCCTTGAAATAGGACAAATGTGGGAATATGAATTTCACACCTGCAAATTCCACCAGCTGGGTCAGGCCAATGGCTCAGGACCGCCTCTGGGTGCTGTGGAGGCCCCTCACCGGGAGCAGATGCCACACCCAGTGCCCAGGGCTTCCCTTGCCCAGAGCCATGTGACAAGCAGGTTTCCCCCTGTCCGCAGCATGGCCCACAGGTAAGCAGTGGGGTGGGCAGGATCCACAGGTGCGCAGTGGGTGAGCTGGGTCCATTGGTGGGCAGTGGGTAGGCGGGGCCCATAGATGGGCAGTGGGTGGGGTGGGTCCACAGGTGTGCAGTCAGTGGATGGGGTGGGTCCACAGGTGGGCAGTGGGTGGGGTGGGTCCACTGGTGGGCAGTGGGTAGGTGGGGCCCATAGATGGGCAGTGGGTGGATGAGTCCATAGGTGGACAGTGGGTGGGCAGGGCCCATAGGTGGGCAGTGGGTGGGGTGGGTCCACAGGTGCGCAGTCAGTGGATGGGGTGGGTCCACAGGTGCACAGTCAGTGGGTGGGGTGGGTCCACAGGAGCACAG